GGCAGACTTGGGCTGTAGGGGGAAAGTCAGAAGGGTGCCTGCTGTTTGACAGGGAGGTGCTGCTAAGTGCAAGGAGGAGGGCAGCTTGGCTATGGTAAGGACTGCAGCACCACTGGTGCAAGCAGGGACACCAGGTCCAGGATCCCCAGATAGGAGCTCCTGCTGCTGAGGCTCCTGGGACCTGGATGTTCCTGTTGCTTTGTCTGTCCACAGGGCAGGATGAGCATTTCAGGGTTTAGGGTTTTTTTCCCCATGACACGTGTGTTGGCTGCACTGGGACAGGGAGGCAAGGGGTGGACATGGAGCTCAGATGACTGCCGAGAGCTGGAGAGCAGCCCCTGCAGGCTGTCCTGTCTGTCCTGGTCCCTCAGGAGCTCCCCAGGATGGCTGTGGTGTAGACCTGGGCTGCCTTCCCGACAAAGCTGGCTTCGCTTGAGCTTGCAGCAAAGAGTACAGTCTGCCAATGCAGCCTGTGAGCTGGCAGGATACTTAAGGGGTGCTGGCGGCTTGGGACAGCACTGAGCGCTCTGGAAGAAGTTTTCCCTTTGGTTTCTCTCTCTGGCCTAACTGTCAGCAAGTTTCTCTTCCTCAGGATGGTGTGGAGTCCTGCCAGGTGCAAGTCCCCCGGGAAGGAGGAGACCCCGGCCCCCACTCACTGGTTCCTCTGTTTGTAACCTCTCCTTTTCTGTTTCTGTGCCCCCAGGCGCCGACGCTGGCAGACGGAGAGAGAGGAGCGGGAATAGTATGTCGTTTTTTCAGGGTCTTGTTTTTCTTCTTTCTTTCTTTCTCTCTCTCTCTCTCTCTCTCTCTCTCTCTTTCTCTTTCTTTCTAGTTTTCTTTTGCAGTTTCTCTCTTGCTTCTGAACTAATCTTAACTGGTTGGGAGATCAGGGCTTGGATTTGTGTCTCCCAATGGATTCATGCTCTTCTCTTTCCTTCCCCTATGGGTCAGCCACTTACCACAGCAGGATATGCCTTGTTTTTCCACTGGTAGCCCTTAGATGCTCCCTGCCTGTAGCAGTGTCGATGAGCTCCAAGTCCCAGCTGAAGTGGAGGGTGCCATGTCACACACTTGCTGTGCCTACCACTGTCTGGGTCTCCCACTTTGCGATTGAACAACTGTAGATAAACCCGGTTGACTCAGCGCACAGCATGGTCAGGGTACCCAGGCACAAGAGCAGCCCTTCTTTGCCTGTTCCTTTCCTTGTGCCAGTGACCAACGAGGGTTACTCCCAAGCCAGCTGCAGGGCAGGTGGGTATACAGAGAGCATCTGGCAGAAAGTTGTAAGTGGGTGTTTTTCTTTTTCCCCTCTCTCTTTCCTTCACCCCTGCCAGGCTGCCAGGAACAGAGCAAGTGTTGGCCCTTGTCCCTTACCACCCACCCCAGGTTGGCAGCATGCCTAGCAAGGCAGTGTCTTTGTGCCCTCTCTCTCCATCCCAGATACTTCTACAGAAGCAAACTTCCTGCCTCAGCATGGCTGAGAACATCATCTGACACCTTGGCCTGGCATTACCTGCAGGACATCCATGGGGACTGCAGCTGGCTGCCAGCTCAGCACTGTCACAGGCCTTCCCTCCTTGCTTTTTCCTCTTTCTTGCTTCTTTATGTCTAAGCAGTGACCTTCCCCCATGGCCTGCCACCTGGCTGGGTGGTGCATGCTGCAGAGGAGATGATCAGCTAGTGGTGGAGAGCCTGAAGTGGTCCCTCAAGGCAGGTGGAAGGGAGCTACTGAGGCCAGGGCAGGATGCTGCAGTCTCGCTTCTCAATTCTGCCTAACTTTATTGCTTGCAAAGGAGCAGCCCAGCTGCTGCTGCCTCTAGAGGATAGAGGAATGCACCTATTTTTGTGGCAGCTCCTTACCCCCAAAGGAGCAGAGCCATTCAGGTTGTGAAAACAAAGGTGGTGGTTGCTGTGGGTTTGTACATAACACAGGGGACCCCTTGCTCACGCTTGAATGCTTCACTAGTAGGCTTCAGAGGCGTTCTGGCAGCTCTTCAGTGCTAATGTAAAGTTGGGGGAGTAAGGCAGAGGTAGCAGAGGCATCATGCTCCTACCCCAAGGCCCAGGATGTGGCCTTTATGGAGGAACAGCTCCATCATACCTATGATGGTGCTGTTCTCTCTCCAGGGCACCGTTCTTACCTGTTCCCATTCCTCATCTGGGCTTCCCTGAAGCTCCCTGCTGCCCTCTCAAACCTAGTGGTTGAGCTAGGCTGTCTTTGGGAACTTCCAATGTCTGTGGAGCTCAGAGAGGAAGCCTTGGCCTGATCTATGCTCCTCCAAGGCTGACAGCATCGTCCCATCTTAGCTGTTCCTCCATGCAGGGCTAAAGTGGTTAGGGACACATGTAAGCAGCCTAGCCCTTGAATGTGCAGGTCTTGGCAGGTGAGGGCATCCTTCTCTACTGTGTCCGTTTGTCTGAGAACTGGCAGGTGCCCTTGTCCTGCCCCTTGCCAGGGCTTGAGGTAATCAGCCCCTTTCATTGGTGACTTGGTCTGCACGGGGAGACTGTGGCAACCTACCCCCACCTCCGTGCCTAAGGGCAGTGATTGCGGAGCCCTGTGGAGCTTGCCACCCACTTGGCCACCTCCTGCAACACACTGCAGCAAACCCTCTCAACAGCCTGCATGGCAACCTGTTGCCTGATAGCCTGCCCTCCGCTGCTGCCTGCAATTCCCTTGGCCTGAGATTGGCAATGCCTTGGATCTAGTTTCTCTCCTTCTCTGGCAGTGCCAGCACCAAACCTGGGCTGTGAGCATGGAGGAGGCTTCTTAGGTCCCACCCGAATCCTCTCAGGGTTAAGGCCTGAGGCAGCAATTCCTCTCCCACTTGCTTTGTTAGTGCTTCGCTTTAAAAAGCCTCCAACTAGAATGCAGGTGCCCCCTAGGAGCTTCCCCTTGAGTATCCTACCCTTGGGATGAGTGGGCACCCTCTGTCTTCCTAGCACTGCAAGTCTTTCCTAATTATTTTCTCTACCTCCCCCTAATTATTGTCTTTACGTCACACTCTGCTATTGTCATCTAATAATCTAATCACTCTTCCCAGTTATTCCCTCCAGTATTATTCTGCTCTGCCGTCAAGTTTTCTGGTACCGAGGAGCCAAAAGCACATCGTGGTGTTGCACTGGGGCGTCTGCAGGGATGCTGATAGCAGAAATTTACCTTTGCTCCCTGTGCCCAGCTTCAAAGCCTCTGGGATTTTAAAGGGCTAAAGACCCAAGAGCCACAATGGAGCTCGCGCCATGCCTCCGGTGGAGCAGTGTGTTAGCCTGTGCAGTTGCAAGGCTGCATGCTGCTGTCTAATCTGCTCTCCTGTAGTCCCATGACCTCCAGCTAATCTCCTTTCCCCTCTCTGTGTTCTTCCAGCCAGGGGCTCAGCAGGTGCTGCTCTGCTCTCCAAGTGTGGCAGCATGTCCCATTCCCTTCCCTTTGGCAGGGTCATGAAAGTCTTTGCTTGTTTTCTTTCACATAGTGTTTTCCATCACATCTCTGGTGTTTGTCTCCCAGCTGTTTCTTCTCTGGGTTCTTGTCCATCTAATCCTTCCTGAGCCTGTACTGATTACAGGGAAACCATATTTTCCTCTGTTTTCCTTTGCTTCTAGCCTTTAGATCAACCATATCTCTTGCACCTCCAAGGTCCCAGCCTGCTGTTGCCATTTCACAGATACTATGTAACTTAGGTCTCTGGAATATTTCCGTATCTCCTTTGCCAGCTCACTTCCACCTCCATTGATAATGAGGGCTATTGTCTGTCTTGGATGTTTCCACTGCAAGTTCTAGGTCCCTGCCTGCCTGTGGAGTAGAGCAGTCTGGGATATTCAGCTTTCTTGTTTCCTGCCTTTCAGCCTGCAGCCATTCACTTGTAGCTGCCTCCCGCACTCCTGCTCTAGGGATTTCCGGCCAACAGACCCAGGTCAGGCTGTGGAGGAAGCTGAGCTGAGCCTGGCTTCAGGGAACAAAGACAATAGTGGCTCAGCTGGATTTCTCCTTTTCTTGGGTTTCCCTGCCCTGAAGTGCTAAGGAGAGGGAGGACTGGTATAGCAGGAACACGGTCTGCCGAACTCCCACTCCTCTTTCCTAGGGCAAGTGCAGTCTGCAGAGACCGGCTGTCCCAGCTGCCTTCCTGGCAGGCAGGTGCTGCTGCAACGGCCCCTCTGGAGTGCTGGGGCTGCCACCTCGTGGCCGCGCAGAGGCTCAGCGCGTCAGAGGGGAGCCTCCTTCCTTCCCCTGCATCCTTCCCCTTACCCTCTTCCTGCAGGGTAAAGCATGCTCCAGGGCAAGAGATTTCTGCTGCCCCATCATATCCTTTGATTGCAATAGGTGGATGCAAATTATCATAAAACAGCTGTTGCTTGATCTGCAGGTGCTTAAAAATATTTTGTCAGTGGTTCTTGCTCTCCCCTAGGGAAAGCCAGCTGGAGTGGGGATCCCGCCTGGGCCTGCAGACTGTTACCCGCATTGGCACCAAAAGGATCTAGGATGGCGCTGGCATCCCTAGTGGGTGACTGGCTGTGAGGCCGCCTCCCAGGTGGGAGTCTTGGCTGGCACATGTAGCCATGGCTCATGCTGCTCTGCTCCATCTCCCCTGTGACTTTCTGTGGGCTGTGTTTTCTGCCTCTTGACCTCAGTAATACCAGCTAGCAGAGAGCCTCGCAGGCCTACAGCTCTGGACTCATCTGTGCAGTTGCATTACAAAAGGGAAAATAGGAGCCCCTGTCTGAACCCCCACCCCCTGCTGTGGTGCCCTCTCCTTCACATCTCTTCTTCTCTGTCTAAACTCTGCACTAAACAGACCTAATCTCTCCTCCGTAGCAGCCACTGCCAGGCCCCCCTCATGGGGGCTGATGTGTAAAGTGGGTGCCTCTGAGAAAGAGGCAGGAAGGTTACTGAGGGAATAGCGTCCACGTCTGAGCCCACGAAGGCTGGCAGAGCCAAGTCTCCTGTTTGTGAGTGGGCTCTGGATGCCTGTCCTTGGGTCTGCGCAGTGCCGTCTGAGGAGGGGCTCTCTGCTTACTGCTTTACCCTGTTCTTTGAGGCTGTTCTCTCTCCATCTCACCTGGGGCAAACTCACTTGAATTAACCTCTGATCTTCTGGGTGCTGTTGGTTCCTGGCCAAGCTGCCTCCTCTCATCTTTTAGTCTTCTCTCACCTCTGCTTGTCATTTTAGCGTGGCTTCCGCTCTACACTCTGACAACCACGACCGCTACGAGCGCCTGACCTCTGTCTCTAGCTCTGTGGACTTTGACCAGCGGGACAACGTGAGTAGCAGCAAGCGGCAGAATTGAGCACCTTGCCTGTGAGTGGCTAGGAGCCCGCAGTTTGTGTGAGCTAAACGCTTTTCAGAGGCAGTGCTGTTTCCCTATTCTAAAGCTTTAGATCCAACTTGTTGTAGTGTGTAAGTGTGGTGTAGAGCTCAAGGAGACATGGGAAGCATGTGGCTTCTAGTCAGGTAGTCTGTACATCCCTCTGGCTTATTGGAGATCCCATCCAGCCTGTAATCTCAGCCTCACAAATCACAATCACCAGGAGAAAGATGCCTGGCTCTTCCTCCGCTGCAAAATGCCTCTGCTGCTTTATTCTCTAAGATGGGGGTGCAGTTCAGTAGAAGAATGAGGTGCAATGAATGGGGAGTGAAGTTCCCAGGAGACATTCCTTCCCCAGGTGTCCACTGAGGAATGCCAGCTTGACTTCCTCTGCCTCCCCAGTCTTTGCTGTGTTCCTCCTCCCCAGGGCAATGGCTGAAGTACCTGTAAGATGAATTTTCTGGGTCTCCCGAGGCTGTGGAGAGATTCTATGCTAAGTAGGAGCCTGTGGGTTTGCCTGGGAAGCTGAGCTAACAGTTGTCAGGGTGCAGCCTGGTGGCAAAGCCCAGCCTGTATCACGTCTCATGGGGCAGCATGTTGAGAGAAATCATCTCCTTCGCGTGGGCCTGACTGTGGCCCTACGCTTCTGGGTGATTGTAGTCTGTCCCCTTGTCCTGAGCTAAAGTCTGTGGAGGTGCAAGGAGACCACCCTGGTCCCTTTGGCCTCTAAAGGAGGGAGCAGGATAAGGGAGCACAAAGTGATGTGAGATCCTCCTGTCCTCTCTCTGCACAGGGTTTCTGCTCCTGGCTGACAGCAATCTTCAGGATAAAGTAAGTGTCCCAGGACCTGCACGGGGGACCTGCATGGGGAAGAAGAAAAGCAAGTGCAGGGAGTTGTAACACCCAGTGCCGTACAGCTACGTGAAGTCACTGCTCTTGCTGCCTCTCCTTCTCTGAAGAGCTCACAGCCTGTACGGAGAGGACAAGCAAAGATGGGCCTAGTGGCCTCTCTCACAGATGAGGAATCCTAGGGCCAATATTAAGGTCACACAGCGAGTCTGTGACAGATGAGCACCCAGCCCAGGTCTGTCCAGCCTCAGTCACATCTCTTGACTCTCAGAAATACTGTCCCCCGCTTTGCAGAGATGCTCCTCTGCCTGAGACCCCTTCTAGGGATACTGTTGTTAGGAAGGCCGATGGTAGCGAAGGTTAGACTGGAGGATGCAGGAAAGACCCCTCCAGACTGATGATGCTCGAGAGTAGTCTTCTAAGCACTTCTGCCTTCAGAGCACAGTGGGACAGGGTCAGCAATCCAGTAGGAGAAGTAAGGCCCACCAGGAAGATGGATATTAGGTGTGGTTTGGGTGGGTCTGGCTGCCCTTCCCTGGTGGAAGAAGGCAGGGAGCATGGAGGATTGAGCTGCAGTAAATGTTATATGGTCGTGTTTCTGCCTGGGCAGGTTTAAGGCTAGCTGCTAGGATCCCTACCAGAGGCTCTGCCTTGGCTCTGTAGGGCACTGTCCTGGGACTCTGTGTGGCTCAGTCCTGGGTTCAAACTGTGCAGGCAGCCATGACCCAAGGCTTTTTTCCAGCGCTTAAGGGAGCCTGAAGGATTGCCTGACTGCCTTTCTCTCCCCGGCAGGGATGATGAGATCCGGGACAAGTGTGGGGGCGATGCGGTACATTACCTTTCCTTCCAGAGGCACATCATCGGGCTGCTGGTGGCTGTGGGCGTGCTTTCTGTGGGCATCGTGTTACCTGTCAACTTCTCAGGGGACTTGCTAGGTGAGAGCTGAGAGCCTCTAGCTGGGCTGGGGGAGCTTGCTTTCAACACCGTGTCCCAGACCATCAATAGGGCTGGGTGGGACTAGACAAACCCCAGCTCTTATCCCACGTTGTGAAATGGAGTGTTCAAAGGGTCATGCTGGGTTTTTGGGATGTCTCGCAGGTGAGGTTCGGGCTACACCCCAACACACTGGGCACTCTGTGCCACAGCCCCCCAATATAACTGAACATGCCTGTATCTGCCTCTTTCTCTCCAGAAAACAACGCCTACAGCTTTGGGAGGACAACTATTGCCAACCTGAACTCTGGGTACGTGTGGGCAGGGATGGGATGGATATTTGAGGTCCCCAGGGTATATTTTGTAGATACAAACTTGCTGCAGAGCCTCAGTTCCTTGAAGGTTGCATTTCTGCCCTTGCCCTGAGGCTACAGTCCCTGCTGTGTATCTTTCTCCTGTTTGCAGATTGAGCCTTTGGAAGTTGTTTGCAGGGCATATGGATGTCATGCCAGTTAGGCTGCCTGTGGCCCCGGGGCCTTCAGTTGGGTCCCTGACGGGCCTGGCCAGCCATACACAGAGGCATAGTGGTAGCCTTGCTTTGGCCTTTAAGCACAGTCTCTCTTGTGACAGGAATAACCTGTTGTGGCTGCACACATCTTTCGCCTTCCTGTATCTGCTGCTGACGGTGTACAGCATGCGCCGACACACCTCCAAGATGCGATACAAAGAGGATGATTTGGTGAGCAGGATCTGGCCACTGTCGAAGGCACAGCTTCCCATGCCTTCTTGTCCAGTTGGGTGGCATGAAAGAGGGTGCTGAGCACCGCTTTCCCTTCAGCAACTCGGGGCTTGCTCATTTTGGCTGTGGTTTTGGTTCTGTCTGGTCAGAGGGGGTTCTCTTCCAGGGCAGCAATCCTGACTCCCAGTGGGGAAAAAGGAGAGGTCTTTGCTGGGTGAACACATGCGTGGACCTCATGCCTTCCCCAGGAGCTCCTGCAGCTGCTACGTGGGCTTTGGATTCTCCCCTGTTGTCTTTGCCTTCCTTGTTGCTTAAGGACCATTTCTGTTCAGGCTGCTGCAGTGTAGTCCCACCCCCCAGTTAATCTACTGCATGTCAGGATACAGGATGCCAACAGCTAGCTGCCTTTCCCAGTTGCTAACTGAGGCCTGGGCCTTGCTGTTTTGCTGCAGTCTGATCTTTTGCACCACCCACATCTGCCTGCCCTCTCTCCCACCCCATTCCAGGTGAAGCGAACTCTCTTCATCAATGGGATCTCAAAGTATGCTGAGCCAGAGAAGATCAAGAAGCATTTTGAGTGAGTGTCCCCATATGCCTAATTAAAGTCTGTCCTGAAACAGGAGTAGCGTTACCTTGGGTAGTGTTACTGTTACCTGAAATGGCAATAATACGTTCAGAGCAGAAATCTAGTCAAAATCAATGAACGCTTTTGTTTTGGGAATCTCGCTGTAATTTTTTTGTGGAAGTTGTTGTCTAAATGTGAAATGCCGTTGATTTATACCTTGGACTATGCCCAGCTATCTCTTTGCTGAGCAGGAATTAGTGGTGACAGCATGTCACGAGATGTAGTCAAGTTCAGAGATGAGAAAGGGGGACAGGAAACACTCGGGCAATGTCTGTGGGATATTGTGCTGCTGCTTCTGCCTTGGTCATGCTTTCATCAAAAAGCGTGCTGCTTTTTAACCAAGAAAAAAGAAAATTCTTCTTCTGTCAGGACCTCAGTAAGCACACTGTCAGGAGTATGTTTAGAAGCGTCCTAGAGAAAGGAGAAATGCTTTGAACCCTTTCGGAACCTTTCTCCCTCTTTCTAATCCTAAGCCCTGTGGCAAATGAAGGCAAAGAGAGGTTGGAGGGGTGCCTTACTGCCACAACTGTAATTTTAGTTTTAAAAAAATCCCCCCCACCCCATGCATTCTGTCCTTTCTCTTAAACCCTTCTCCCATCTCCTTGGAGACATCATGGGTAGCCCCAATTCCTCCCAGGACAAAAATCTGAAGAGGCTTCCCATGCCAGAGCCCAGAGGATGCAGTGTTCCCCCCCCCCCCAACACCGTTGTCCTTGTAAAGGGCAGAGACTGCAGGCACTTATCCTGCTCCTGGCAGGCTTTTACTGTGCTCCCTGACACTTGGCCCAGGGCAGGCGGAAGTCTTGGGCATGTGGGATTTGCTTGAGAGATGGCTTTTTGGTGCCCCCTGCGATAGGCTGGTATTTCCCGTTCACAGGGAGGCCTATGCCAACTGCACTGTTCTGGAGGCTCGTCCCTGCTATGACGTGGCCAGGCTGATGTTCCTTGATGCGGAGAGGTAACCCCTGGGGTGGGGAGAGAGGGCAGGCTGTGCAGGCTGGCGGGGGCTGTGGGACAGGATTGAGGGGTAGCTGCAGAGCTGGGGTTGGGGTGCACCGAGGTAAGTTGGGAGCCCCTCTTAACAGAGGGTGGACCTTGAATCTGATGCCACAGGGGCTTTTCTGAGCCATCCTCTTTCCCTCTCCTGTTGCAGGAAGAAAGCTGAGCGTGGGAGAATTTACTTCACCAACCTGCAGAGCAAGGAGAATACCCCATCCATGATCAACCCCAAGCCCTGTGGCCACCTGTGCTGCTGTGTCATCAGGGGCTGTGAGGAGGTGTGCCATAATCACGCGGTGTTGGGCAGAGGGGCTCACAGGGTGCTGGATGCAGGAAACTGCCTCTCTTCTGGCCACGTTGACTTCTAGTGCTCTTGTATTCAGCAGCTGGCAGAAGCCAGGGGCAGTCCTGGGATAGGAGCATGTTGCAGCCTCCCTGGCTCCCCGTGGCAGCTGGAGCTCTGTTTAAGGAAAACAAGCTCTTTTTCTCTATCCCTGTTACTGTGGCCCGGGCAGGGTTTGCCTGGCTGCAAACAGTTTCCCCTCCTCAGCCTCGCTGTCCTATTTGCCTTCTTCCTAGCGCTCAGATGCAGAGCTAACGAAGCTACTGCCCCGCAAGCTGGTCTAGGTTGGCTTGGCTGCCCACCTTCTCACTACAGTGCTGTTGTCATGGCACAGAGGGGTCAGGGGTGTGAGGAGAGTCCCCAGGTCTCTGCTCTAATCTCTCTCCCCCTGCCCAGGTGGAGGCCATTGAGTACTACACTAAGCTGGAGGAGAAACTCAAGGAAGACTACAAGCGGGAGAAGGAGAAAGTGAACGAGAAGCCTCTGGGGATGGCCTTTGTCACCTTCCACAACGAGACCATTACAGCCATGTGAGTGTAGATGGGCCTGTCCTACCCAGGAAGTTGACCTCTCCCAGCTCTCCCCTTTAATCGGAGTAATGCCGGCACCAGGTCATCCCTCCTTGGTTTGTCCCTGCCAGCCCTCTTTGTCAGCAGCTCTCCTTCTTTTTCTTTTTCTCCAGAATCCTCAAAGACTTCAATGCTTGCAAGTGTCAGGGCTGTGCATGCCGGGGGGAGCCCCGGGCCTCCTCCTGCAGCGAGTCCCTGCATGTTTCCAACTGGACTGTCAGCTATGCCCCCGACCCGCAGAACATCTACTGGTGAGTGTCTCTGGGGGGGTCAGCAGGCCCCAGGGATGGGGAAGGGGTGCACCCTCCCTGTGTCCCTCCCCTTCTGCTTCTCTGATAACTAAATGGTTTGCTGAAGCTCATCCTGGCTGAGCTAGAGGGTCTGCTCTGACATGGAGGGGGGAAGCCTGGGATTGGCACCCCAAGCTCTGTGACGCAGCCTGGACTAGCGTTGCAGACGTGAGGCTCTGGACGTGCACTTCACCCTGTGCAGCCATTCTGATGCCTTGTGTCTCCCCCAGGGAACACCTCTCCATCCGGGGCTTCATCTGGTGGATCCGCTGCCTGGTTATCAACGTGGTCCTCTTCATCCTCCTCTTCTTCCTCACCACACCTGCTATCATCATCACCACTATGGACAAGTTCAATGTCACCAAGCCTGTGGAGTACCTCAATGTAAGGCCTTAGGAGAGGGACACAAGATGATGGGTAGCAGTGAAACCACCTCAAGGCACCAGAGCTACTGCAGGCGAGGGAGCAGCAGGAGAGATTGTTAGCATGCCCCAGGTCCCATCAGCCTAACAACAAGGGAGGGAAGCCCCAGGAGAAGGGCTGATGTGCCCTGCTGTGTGCTCCTCAGCCTCTGGGAGGGAGCGCTGAGCCTGGTCAGGGTGCTGTGGCGCTGGCCACTCGGCTGTCAGCAAAGGCACCGGCTTTGTCTCAGATCGTTTCTGACTCGTCCAAGAGCTGCTGCATCATGTATAACACGCAGTCTGTTCTCTGCCTCGTTGCAGAACCCCATCATCACTCAGTTCTTCCCCACCCTGCTGCTGTGGTGCTTCTCTGCTCTGCTGCCCACCATTGTGTATTACTCTGCCTTCTTCGAAGCGCACTGGACCAGGTAAGGACAGCCAGTGCCTGTTCTTAGCCATACCAGCATGCTACCTGGGCACCTGACACTTCTCTCAGAAGCAAGGCTCCTGGCTGGCTCCTCTTGCTTGACCTCCTGTCTCCTACTCCAAGGCATGATGTTACGTGGCACCTCTTGGACACCTTGGCATCTGTCACAAACAGCTGTCCTGCCAGTCCTTAGTCATATATCTTTCTGCAGCATGATTGCTTGAGTTGAGCTTGGTGTAGGTCTGCAAGTGGTGGAAGAAAGCTGGGAGGGCTTGGGGCCAGTCACTGAGAGAAACGCTAGTAGCAAGAGAAGCCTTGGCTAAGGTGAAGGTGCAGGTGTGATGTGCTTGCACCCATGCGTAAGTCGTAGCTTTTCCAAGGAAAAATTACCTTAGCTGCTATGGCTTCTGGCAATAGGGAATGTATTTGAAGTGCAGAGCACTAGCAGACAAATTTGTGTGTTTGATGTGAGCCTTCTCTTCTGCTCTGGGTTGCAGAGACTTTGGTTGGGAGGATGTCACCAGCTCTGAGGGCTGCAGGTCAAGAGAGATGAGGACTGATTGCGGAGTCCTCCACAGAGCAAACAAGGATGATGCAAGGGCGAGGAGGACCCGTGAGGAAAGGGTGGAAGAACTGGGACTTGAGAACAAACCTCAGACAAACCAGAGAGAAAGGGGGGGAATACTGATCTGTATCAGTAGTGGGCAGTGTGAGATTGGGGTTTGACCCAGGGAAGAGCTTTCTGAGGATGATGGATGCCTAGAACAGACTGCTTGGGATGGATGCAGGCTGCGCACAGGGAAGTTTGGCTGAGGAGTTTGGACAGTCTCTTGTGGGGAATGGGAGAGCTGAATCTCTCTTGGATGAGATCACTCTTATAGGTACCTTCTGGTTGAACCATCTCTGATATTTTTCTGTCCACACTTATGCATAAGACATGCTTTGACAGGCCTTCCCAGGCTGTAGGGTACAACTACATTTTCTGAAGTAGCTCTGCCTTTCTCCAGGCTGCCTACATCCCTGGTCCCACCACGTGAGATAACGTAGGTCTTTTTCTGCTGGCACCTCTGACAGCTGCAGATTACTGAATGAAGCCAGTTCTTCTCAACATGTCTCAACTTGTTCCCTGGCTCTACAAAATGCTTACCCCATCTCTTGTCTTCGTCTTTCTCTCTCATCGTTGCCTCTAGGCCCTTTGATTTGTCTGTGTTCCCCTCTCCCTGGGAAGGGAAAGTTCTTCCTGACTCTGCTTTTCCCTCCTTCCATCCCGCGTGTCTGCCTGGTGCTCCCCCTCCTCTTCTCTCTTTGTAGCCCAATATGCTTAAGGTTTTCACATCCACTTTGTTGCCTGGGCCCAGCCTGAGAAGAGTTAAGCTTTACAAGCCCAGATGAGGCCAGATTGGAGCTCACTCTCCCCAAACAACAACACTCTCCCAGGGACCTCCCTCCTCCCCGACTTGTCCCCTCTTTGCCTGTGCTGTATCTCCTGTCACCTGTTCCAAGATAGCCTCTTCCTTCCCTTGTGACCAGGCAGGGCTCACACACTGGGTGACCTGGGCTCGCTCCCCCACCTCTGCTGCACTTGGTGTGCCTGGGGGCACGTCTCTCTGCCTTGACCCCTGGTGATGGGGACACTGCTCCTGGGGATAATGGAGTGACACTGAAAGGTTGATGACTTCCTCTCTGCCCTCAGGTCTGGAGAGAACAGGACAACCATGCACAAGTGTTATACCTTCCTCATCTTCATGGTCTTGCTGCTGCCTTCACTGGGCCTGAGCAGGTAGGTGTGGAGGGAAGGCAAAGCAAGTGCAGAGAGCTGGAGCACAGGGAGGGCTGAGATGCACCTCTGGCTGTTCTCCTGCAGGACTTCCTTTCCTTGCTCTGTAAGTGCTGGCTGCTGTCCCCTTGGGGAGGTGACGTTTAATTCTGTGGAATTCTGTTTGTGGATCAGGCCAGATCACACCGACTTGGGTCCTAATGAACTTGTTGAATCATGAGTAGCAACTGTTTGCATACAGGTCAAATAAGGCCCTCGCTACACATCCTGCAGCTCTAGTCACGTGTGCCTGGGTGTTACTAATAATGTAAAAAATTGGCATGGTTGATGGCTGCATGTGAAAGGTCTGTTTGACCTGGTGAAGATGTTCCCTACCTCTGTGCTCAATGTGCACTCAGAATTTTGCCCAGAACTAGTGAATTCCCCATTTGAGCCAGAATTGAGTAGGCTGTACTACTTAGGTGGGGAAGGTAGAGTATAGGGTGCAGAAATGCTGATCCTCCTGGATCTGAGCCCCAGATTTTCCTGCAGGACTTATACGTATATGTTGACAAACAGTGTTGCATCAGCTGCCAGCCGTCAGCATGAGCTCTCAGCACAGAACAATGGCAAAGTGGAAAACAGCATGACTAAGAGGAAAGGAAAACTGGCTGGGGGTACTCACTGTGATAGGGAATTATTTAGGGATCGTGGTGCAGGGGATGTGCACCCCCTAAATTCAGGCAAGGACACAGTCCCTCAGTGGCTAAATCAGGAAGCTCCTGATAACAGACAAGGCTTTTAGCAGAGTCAGAAAAATAATCCTCCATCCTAGTGGGTGACTGCAGCAAACTTTCCCAGACAGATTAAAAATGTCTTGTTGATAAAACCTTATGATCTAGGCAGGTGAATGCTCTCAGAGGGTTTACATTTTAACTGGGTACCATGTCTTTAAACAAATTGGGCTTCCTTCTGAGCACAGAGTCCTGCTGCTGTTGCGTTTGGAGCTCTGTACTCCACAAAGTACTATGGCTCTAAAGGTGTCAGAGGACTGCAAAGTTTTATATCCAAGATCCGGAATCAAGGGAGATGGGATTTGTTTCTCCTAGAAGTTTTTTAATCTCGATGCTTGAGGGTATCTTATACTAGTTTCTCCTGTAGAATCAGTCACCTGTTGTTCCTCGTATGGATGTTTTACCCAAACAGGAGAGAGAGGAAAATGTTCTACTGACGGCATTGGGGCCGAGAGAGAAAAACACATGAGAATGGGAAACTTGATATCCTTTTTTGGGTTGTGTCCTGTTTTTCCTGGTGTCCAGCTTACCCAATTGCCAGTGGCATGTCCCAAGAGAGAACAATAAGGGCTATGGTCAGAGATTCAGGTCTGTTTAGAGCACCTTCCATTTATTTGCATGTGTATGCCTGTGTGATTTAATTATGTCATTTAAAAGAAATAATCACTATCACTTCACTCAAGCTTTTATACTTGCTAACGCAAGAAAAAACTGCTTCCTATGTTATTAAAGCTCATCTGTAAAGCAGTAGTGTAAAACAAGACACCTTCCCTGCTGCATATGTAGGAACAGGAGAGAGCAAAAATGAGAACTAATATACTTTCTCCTGCAGCATGGATCTCACAGGATGGGATTTTTGCCAGTAGGATTTCCATACGCTAAAGACTTTCCCCTTTACAAACACTAGAGAGAGGAAAGCCACAGTTGGGGGGCCCTGTGAGATGTCACGCTGCCCTGAGCATATGTCTGCCTATGTAGACCTGTTAGCACAGTAGTTGTTTCTGGAGAGTGGCCAGGGCCCAAGGGCATAAACACGTGTGGTCCTTGTCTACAACCCTCTCTGTGCTCACAGTGAACTCTTTTTCAGTTTTTTCTCTTTTCTTCCACCCTGCTGTTCCCCCACAGCTTGGATGTGTTTTTCCGCTGGTTATTTGACAAGAAGTTCCTAGCCGAAGCTGCAGTGCGATTCGAGTAAGTGAAGCAGGACTGTTGAAATGGGGAATCCTTGCTGACATCCAAAGGTCCCCACGGCCTTGCCCTCTGCAGCTGGGGTCCTGGCTCATCCCCTACACGGTTTTATGGCTGAGGGAGCACCTCCTGCAGCCTTTTCTTGTTCTCCCTCCTCAGGTGTGTGTTTCTGCCGGATAACGGGGCCTTTTTCGTGAACTACGTCATCGCCTCTGCCTTCATTGGGAATGCCATGGACCTGCTGCGCATCCCTGGCTTGCTCATGTACATGATACGCCTCTGCCTGGCCCGCTCAGCCGCAGAGCGGCGAAATGTCAAGCGAGTATGTAGTGGGGCTGGGGGGATGGGGTTGTGGCCTCTACCTGGGGCTGAAAGTGCTGTGTTGGAGCATGTGCATTCCTGGGACTGCCATATCCTGTGTATATAACATGGGTGTGACATGCAGACAGAGGGGTGTCATGTAGCTCCCTTGCTTGGCTACTGGGGCCATGCTGACGGGCCTCTGCTCTCTCCTGCAGCACCAGGCCTATGAGTTTCAGTTTGGGGCGGCTTACGCGTGGATGATGTGCGTCTTCACTGTGGTCATGACGTATAGCATCACCTGTCCCATCATTGTCCCCTTCGGTAAGCAGTGCCCCTCCACCTGCCTGCATTGGAGGCCGGGGGGAGAGCCCTGGAGGGTGGGGGAAGATACTACCTGTAGGTCAGAGGCACTGGGAAAGACTTTGATTCCCCTCTCTGCTGATATCTCTCAGGGCTCATGTACATGCTGCTTAAGCACCTGGTGGACCGGTACAACCTCTATTATGCCTACCTGCCTGCCAAGCTAGACAAGAAGATCCATTCGGGGGCTGTGAACCAGGTTGTGGCAGCCCCCATCCTCTGCCTCTTCTGGCTTCTCTTCTTCTCCACCATGCGCACAGGTAAATGCTGGGGTAGGAAGCTTGCCCTGGCCAGTGCCTTGCTTTTGGCCTTCTCCGGCAGCAAGTTACAGACCAGCACACGTCTTCCAAGCCATGCTCCTGGCAGCCTCCTGGGCATGGAGCACAACCGGAGTTGCTGTGACACTGACTTTTTTTTTATTTTTGTTTGTTTGTTTTGCCTTGCTCCAGGGTTCCTGGCCCCCACTTCCATGTTCACCTTTGTGGTCCTTGTGATCACCATTGTGATCTGCCTGTGTCACGTCTGCTTCGGGCACTTCAAATACCTCAGCGCTCACAACTACAAGGTGAGGCTTAGTGCTGGGTGGAGGAGCGTGGGGCCCTTTCCGTGGGAGCACAGCTCAACAGTCAGACAGCAGAAGGTTTGGGGTCCCCAGCCAGCCTTGATGTGTGAGCTTGGTCCCCAGCAGAGCCTTTGAACTCCGGGTTCACTAAGCGGAAAGTTCCCAAAGTAGCCTGGACCTGGACTGTGTCCATGCCATGGGACGCTGCTCCTATACTCTGCAGAGAGCTCTGGGGTAGGCCTTGCTGGAGTGTGGCTCCTGCAGCAAGCTTGAGGGCAGTGAGACAGCAAATGTGTTGCCCTGGCATTGTCTTGATTTCTCCTTTACTTTGCAGATTGACCACACAGAGGTGGATGCCATAGAAAGCAGGCAGAACGGGAGACCTGCCACCAACCTGCCAGCTCCCAAATCCGCAGTGAGTTGTTTTCCCCACCTCCATGCCCTGACACACTCCTTACCCAGGTTTAGGAAGGGGGAGCTACCCCTGTACATTTTCCTTCATCTCCGAGTGCCTCACTCCTGGTCTTTCTCAGGCAGCACTCGGAGCTTCCTGACGAGGGTGGGAGGCAAGTGCTGGGCCCTGTGCCACTCACCCACGCTGGGTGATGAATTTTAGTCCTCTCCCTGCCTGCCCCATACCCTTTTCTTGTACTCCCCAGATGCTGTGTGATCACTTTCTGCCTCTCTCTCAGCTGGCACAGTAAATCCAGACCGGCTAAGTCTCCCTCCTGGTTCTGCATTTCTGAGTGCTTGTCCATCAGGAAAGGCTATCACCCTGAGGGCAGGGCTGGCCCTCAGGCCAATGCAAAGGGGTCTCCGTAGGCATTGTATTGAAAGCAAAGAAAATGTTTTTTCTGCTGAAAGCCTTGAGGGTCTCTCCCCTGCCTAGTTCTGAGATCCTGGGTTCGGTCTTCCTAACTGGCTACTTCCTTCCACAATGAGGTTTTCTTTCTTAGCCGCAGCTGAGGTCTGTGCGGAGACAGAGGGTTGCTCAGGGAGCTGCCAGGCTCCTGGATGCTGCCTGCTTTCTCTCCCAGTGAAGCCTGCGGGGTAGATCTCCTAGCTGGGCAGTGCCCCACTGTAGCAGGCTGCAGCTGCACCCTTCTCTCTCCTGCTGTTAGGCCCGCAGCGGCAAGGTAGAGAGTTTGTATTGCAGCTCCTGCATCTACCTGGCCTCTTCCCTGTGCCCAGGAGCCCTTGAAGAGAGGAGAGGGAGTTTCTGCTCTGGGTAGCCCAACACAAGCATGGGTGTCTGTGAGCCTAACACAGTACTTGGAGCTGTTCATAGATTAAATGCAGAGATTAGGTAAAGCAGAGCCTTCTGCTCTCTAGGGAAAGCTGGGCTCTGATGTGCATACGTAATGTAGGCTCCCTCCCAGCATGACCCCTCTGGGCTCTCCCATGCCGTCTGGGGGAGCCATTCCTTGCCCTCCCAACATGTGCCTGCAGTCAGCCTCCCAGCTACATGGTGCTTCACTCCATTGTGCTTTGCTGCCCTGAATCCCCTAGGGGCTGTGAGAAGCTCCCAGAGCTCGTGTGTGTTTCTGCTCTCCCTCTAACCCCTCACCCTTGTTTTGTGTGGCCCTAGCAGAAGTACATTGCCCAGGTGCTGCAGGACTCCTCACCGGAGGGTGAAGCAACAGAGTCTGAGGAGCAGGGGTCCCAGGACGAAGAGCTCATCAACGCGGATGGCATGAATGACACGGATTTCCAGTCGTGTGAGGACAGCCTGATAGAGAACGAGATCCACCAGTAGGGACCTCAAAGGGAGGGAGGGGAAGGAATCCCAGGAGCTGGGCAGGCTGCCGCACACAGAGACAGAGAGAGAAAAATTGAATGAAGTGAGCAGGCAGGGAGGGTGCCAGCCACTGCCATTGCCCACCCCCTTAGGGCCACTACCTTCATCAAGGGCAGGGGTACTGAGACTCTCCATTTCCCTGCCTCCACCCACCTCTGCCACTACTCCCTCAGGTGCCTGGCCAGGCAGCTGTGAGGGGCATGCTCCTTACTAGCCACCTTCTTTAACACATACCCAGACCATCCAACCCCAGGGGCTGGGGAGGAAGGTGACTTTGACCCTTGCTGAGCTGCTTCTCTGAACCAAGAGGACCCAAGGAGAGCAGGAAAATTGGGTGCTCTATGGGGGCAGGGTGAGTGCTGTGGGCAGGGGTAACATCCAGGCCCCATTGGGACTCTATGGAAGGTCCCTTTGTCCCCTGTCCTCCTGATGAGAAACATGAACACTAGTAACTTATTAGATTTACAGGAAGGCAACAAACAAAAAGCTTTAATTGACACAGTGGGTGTCCCTGTTAGTGAAGGGCTGGGAAGGGTGGTGGCTTTGAGCCACCAGGGAGCTGTTGTGTCTGTGCAGAGCTGTCCTCCCTTCGCTCCATGGCCACGTGTGCCCTTGCTCAGCCTGTGGCCATCCTCTGGGCACCTGGGGGCCAGTGTCTCCTCAGTGTGACCTGCCCCAGGAGTTGGGATGGTGCTGGACCAGGCACTAGGGGTGGTGATAGGGATTTTCCCCTGTAACCACCATCCCTCTTGTCCTCACCACCCATGTGCGGGGAGGGGGAGAGCCTAGCCCTGTGAGGGGAGCTGGCTACCAAAAGCCCTGCAGGGCTGGTGAGGGCTGGAGCACTGGGTTGAGCAGCTCGGCCACCCCACACAGGGTGAGGGGGGGCTGAGGGTGTTTCTCATAGCTAGGAAGAGGTGCAGGCAGCCTCTCCCCCAGAGGATGCTCCCCAGGGACACAGTTGGGGGCATGTGCATCCTTTTAAGCAGCTTTTTTTTTTTGCACATTTTACTCCCCTTTCAAACAAAAATCAACCTGACCCCTATCTGCTACCCTAGCCCTCTGTTCTGCCCTGTGTCTGCGGAGCCACATTGGGCACAGGAAGGGCTGGAAAAAAGGGGGGTCTTCTGGGTGCTATGGAGAGGGGAGAAGGGGCCTGGACCACAGCGCCCCTGGCACATGTGGAGCAGGCACTGCCTGGTTGATGCTGGGCCTCTGCCTTCTCTGCACCTACGGGTCTCGGCTCAGTCAGAGAGGGAGGGAGTCCTCTCCTGCTAAGGCCACCATTTTCGTGAGGACAAGAGCCTCGTGCGCCTGTGCTGGCTTTATTTATATGTTTCACCCCCTGTGGGCTGGCTGTGGGCTCACCTGGCATCACCCAACCTGAGAAGGGGAAGCTGTTCCTTCCCCGTCTCTGCCTTTGCTGCCCTCCCTGGTGATGGCCATGTCCTGAAGGCAGGGAAGGGGACAGGAAGGATGCGAGACAGACCCTGGACCAGGGGCAGGTCTGAGGCCCAAGACCTGCACGTGGGAGATGTAGGCTGCAGCCCCTGGTGTACAAAGGGAGATTTGACCCTATTTGAAGGTTCTGGTGAGGAGGTTTCTGGTCAGGAGCAATTGCCCTCAATTGCTTCCCCTCTTCCCCTTATGTAAAATGTAAAGGAAAAAAAATAAATCTCCCTGCTATTGAGCTGTATTTATTTCCCTGAATCCCCTGCCACCATCTTGTTTGGTGCTCGTTGCTGACACTACCACCTTCCCATTGCCTGTCTTCTGAGGGCTGCTGTGCATCCAGCTCCTTGGAGTGGTGCCTGGTGTCCTGCAGGGTCTCCAGGGGCTAGGGGGAAGGGAACAGTCATTTACCATTTTATTCACTATTTCTGGCCCTGGAGCTCAAAGCACTTTATAGACCCAAATGACTGAAGATTCAGCCCTTCTAGGGCAGTCACAAGCAATTGCTTCTTCTCCCCTTTCCCCCTGTTACGACGAGGGGATTCTGAGGCACGGAGCAGGCACAGGGCTTGCCCTATGGCACGGGGCTCCAGGAAGGATGTAGCTGACTCTTCCATACACCTCTCTAATAGGAATTCCAGGCCTGGAGGAAATGGGGGCAGAGGGGGAGAGATACAGGTCTTGGAGGCAGGGGGAGGGCAGGCTGTGGCTGGCCCTGAGCAGCCAGACTGGGGCTGAAAAACGTGCAGGGTCTACAGAGTCACGTTGATTGTCACACATCCCCTCTGGGGACAGGCTAGAAATGAAATCAGCATGCAAGATGAGAGCTCTCAGCATGGTCCCAGGCTGGGGCAGGGAGGATGTTGAACCTGCTTCCATATTCCTGTACCCATCTAGCACCCTTCTCTCCCCACCCTGCTATGTCAGGTTGGCTGGGATGGCTCCAGTCTCTATACATGCGATTTTGGCCCTAGAGCCGTTGGCTTTCGGGGCAGCGGCCGGACTCTGCCCGCAGAGAGCTGTGTTCTGATTGGCACTGTCTGTGTAGAGATGTGTATAATACCCTGTATATATTTGTGTACAAAAGAAAAAAAGGAAAAAAAGGAACTGTTGTTCTTGTGGTCTTTCTTTGTGAAGCGTGGTGGAGCTGGGACCTGAAATGAGGGACCTTGGCTGCAGCTGGGATGCAGGAGCATGCGTAGTGCAGAGGGAGGAGTGGGAGTTTGTGTGGTGTGTTAACAGCACAGCAGGATGGGTCTTAGTGCTTTCCCTTTTCCTCAGCCCTCCCCACCCCCCAATCTCAGCCTTATCTCTGCATGCAGGGCAAGTCCCGGCAGCAACGCACATGGCAGCTTGCGACATCTCCAGTCAGGAACCCGTCTCCTAGCTTGGTGTTGGTGGACAGGCAGCTGAAGGCTTTGGGAAGGGTGCCCAGCCCCTGGAGCACAGCAGAGCTGGGAGCACTCGCTGTGCGATGCTGCCTGTAGCTTAGCAGTCTCCTGAGCCTGCCGGAGTGCCCTGGGCACGCAGCAGCTGGATGGACTCTCGGGCTGCTCAGTGCTCCTGTTAAACATGGGCTGAAGCATGGGTGTTTCCCAGCCAACTGCCACCTTGGTCTTTGGCTAAGCACAGTCGTTAACGTATGTGTGCAGCAGCCATTTTTTGCTTGGCCTGTTGCAGTGGTGGGGAAGTGAGGTGTGGGGTAGGCCTCTGCGAGGATGATGGACCAGTGACCCCAGCCAGCCAGGTTGCACCTCACCTTGCTCGGGCACGGTCGCATTCAATGACCTCATGCGCCACAGCCCTGTTTGAGTGGAGGCAAGCAGCATCCCTGCCACCTGGCTTCCTCAGAGCTTAGGTTTGTGTGTGGGACCAGCATGCTCCCCCACAAACTTGGTGCAGTATGAACACAGGGTGAAAGGCGCTGCCTGGTAGCCTGCAACCAAAAGACCAGGAAGTGGTGACACCTTGGTGCAGACACAAAGAACAGCAAAACCAACGGGAGGCGTATTACCTGCTGCCAAGTTCCTGTAGGCATCACTACAAAGGGAGACTTGAAAAGAAAATAACAAGGAAATTGGGCAAGGAAAACACACGCAAGCCCAAGGGGTAGGACATGAGACAGCCTGTGTGAAAGGATACACAGGAGCTGTCTTGAACCCCATGAGAGCCAGATGTCTAAGGGGCTTGTCACGTAAGGGACAGCAGTGCACCAGGCTTTTGGCTGATACTGCAGTGCAGTGACCCCCTCCAGCACGCCAGAGCACAGTAGCACACAGCCTCCTTCCGCCTGTACCAGCTAGGGTGGGTGGGCAGCACCAGCTGTTTGCAGTTGGTTCTCCTGGGAGCCCTCCACAGTGCAACTCACTTCAGCTCAGCCCAAGTGTGCCCTGAACTT